GCCCCAGTCACGTGAATCAGGATCGACTTGGTGTCTAACAGCAAGGCCGCTTTTTAAAATGGAAGAGAACTAACACATTAAAAAAAATTTCAGCTCATTAACTAGGTTCCCTGAAATAGGATTACTGCTTTGTGCAAGTAGATACGTGAAGTTTCTTTCTAGCAAAAGCTACCATGAGTGTGGACCCAGTGCAGCATGGGGTTGGGTGACTGGGCTCTTCAGGCTCTGTCTGTCTGGAGGGTGGGGCTGCCACGGTCAGTGCTGACCGTGGGGCACGTGACACCCACAGGCCCTGAGGAGGAAGTCCCCACCCTCGGGATGGCGACTCCTTTGGTACCAAACAACAGAAAAGAAGGAAGAGGGAACTGGCACAAAATGGAGCTGCTTCATTTTATTTTAATCAGGCTTTCATTAGCTCTTCCGAGGAGGCTGTGATTTCTTTTTTTTTTTTTTCCTTCCAGTTTTTGGCCAGGGCCAGGTTTGAACCCACCACCACTGGCATATGGGACTGGCACCCCACTCCTAGAGCAATAGACACCACCCCTGTGATTTCTTTTTAATCCATTTTATTGAACTATAATTTACATATGCCAGAATTCACTTTTTTAAGGCTATAGTTCTCCTATGTATAGTTGACATGCAGTTACAGGGAGTGGCTACCGCCCTAACCAAGGCAGAGTTGCTTCCATCACCACCTCCTTCCCTCTTCGTGGCTGCAGTTTGTAGCATGGGGAGGACAAGTGGGGCCACAGAACTGCTGACAGTGTGATCCCCAAATCCAGAGAGGCCACCTGGCAGTACCATTTTCCAGACTCCTCCCTCCAGACAGGGACAGCTCAATCCATTTATTCTGATTACATTGTCATCCTTTACCCTGAACACCGGAGAGTCAGGGTGACTTTCCACCCTCACACTGGAGAGTCAGGGTGACTTCCACACCAACCTCCCTTTCCAGCCAAACAAACCAGAGAATTCAGCTGTCAGAAAACCATCATTTCCACTTATTTCAGGCCTGCAGACAGCTGTTGAGTTTGTGCAGCTCTCTTCAGTTTAGCTTCATGTTTATTGTGGCATATTTTTTGCTCTGGGGAGTCACAGACAAACTAAACAGAGAACCTGGGATCCTCCCAATCCTTCCTCAGCCTCTCTTTCTCCTGGCTTCACTGATGGGTTCCTGCAGTGCCACCTCGTAGGAGGAGGGCGAAAATGTTTGAAGAAAGACAGAAGTCAAATCCCAGTGGAAAATCACCAAAAAGGATGCTTTGGGTTTATATCATCATTTAAAAACAAAAATATGCTCTTATTATGAGGGTGACAGGCTTATATAAGCCTTGAGGTGTCTAAGGAATTTGTGGAAGCTGGGTCCCTGTTCTCAAGGGAGTGAAATTGAAGTAAGGTGGGAGATTAAAAGACGAGAAGGCAGACTTAGGAAGGTGGTGGAGAAGCCCCTCTTGTCCTTGCTGACAGGGCTGGAGACAGGTTTGCAGAATGGGACACTGCGGTGAGCCTCGGTGAACTAGCAGTTTGGACTGGCACCAGTGAGAAGCCAGAAGGGAGATCTGAGATTCTGATCCCCAGAGGGCTCTGGCAGAGGCATGCTGCCACTCATGGAATATGCAGAAGAGATGTGCATTTGCCTCAGAATACTACTGGAATGAAATGTCCTATTTTAACAGAAGGTTTCCATCAGTTAGGGGTCTAAGGAAAGACCTGGCTGTGGCCCTGGTGGCATGACTGTCACAGACAATCTCCGTTTGGGGCTGGAGCCCTCTGCTGTCTCTTCCTCTCTGAAGCTGCTGCACTTTGAGCTAACCCATCCCCAGGGTTCCTTTGCCTTTTGCAATTACACTTTCAAAATACACAGAAAAGGATTTTGATTCTCTTAGAATCTGATGTTAAAACAATATTTAGTTTTTCTTGTGAGAGGAAATCAGTTGTTTGCCTACATCTAAACCTGCTGACCAAAAAAAGGAGGCAGGACCCACTCAAAACAAAAAGAGGTAGATAGAGCTGAACCCAGGGCACTAGTTCTGGAAAAGAAAGTAAGTCAGAACTGGGTGTTGCCTGTGTTATTTTATGAGGAAATGCCAGAAGAGGTCAAGGGGGTGTGTGTTTTGTGTACTCCCTACCAAGTCACAACCATAATGAAAACCTGGTCTGGTATATTCTTTGTAATCTCAGTTTTCTTTGAATGGAAAATAGAATAATGAATCTCACTCAAGGTAAAAACAACAGGAACCTCCAAAAGTGAGAAGTTGGGGATCTTTTGTCCCCTGGCCCCATTCAAAACCACAATGTCACATGCAGGGCCTGCCCACAACTTCATGTCTGGGCCCTGGGAAAGTGCAAAGGACACCTTGGAGCATACTGTCCCCTTCTCTGTGGCCTCCCTGGGAGAATGAGAGGGTTCCCTCCACCACTATCTGGATGGACCTGTGAGCACAGAAAGCAGCTGAGAGCATTTAGAGCTGGGTCTTACCACACCAGAGAGTGGAGGGTCGCTTCTTCCCCTGCACAAACGTCTCTCCCCTTAGGGGATGATTGACGCCCCCCATTCCGTACCATGACAATTTCTCTAGCATTGGCAATGACTCTTCCAAGGACTCACAGCTCCCCCTAAAAGAACACTTCCTATAGTCTTGAATCCGCCCTCAACATGATTCCAATGTAACTGTTTTTCCCTGTTTACTTACGCAGCGACTATATCATTGGCACATGAACTCACAGTTATTGGGCACCTATTATGTGGCAGAAATCGTGTACACTCACCTCCCCTAATCTTCCTGGAAACTTCACCCCCACCTCCTGCTTTACAGCCTTAGTGGAGTTTCCTGGTCCCCATGTGCACAAACCACTGGGGTGAGGCTGGGGTCCACTGTAGGTGTGTATGAAGCACCTGCTCCATGCTGTTACCTTCCCAATTTCAGACTAACCCCAGCACATGCTTATCAAACCCCCTTGAGCAGCCCACTTGCACCAAAGACATTTTTTAACATCCTTCTGGGTTCCAAGATGCTCTCCCCCCCTTTTTTTTGCCTCTGGATTTTGAAATTGTGTTTTGGTCTTCCTGTTATGCTTAAGAAAATGCCTCTCTCTGGAAGATGGACTCCTAAAGCAATGAGCCTGCCAGTCAATCTGTAAGCTGTTAGGAAAAGACCGTTTTGAACAAGGAAGGTCTGGTAATGAGGGAAAGCTTGTAAAATGTCTCTGTCTGCGCTAACCTCTCAGCATCATTTATCTGCACCGTTTGGCCCTCCTCGTGGAGCTCTTCCTTCATATAGACTGATTATAGTGCTTAGAATGGACACCGCCCACCTTGTTATCTCCACCAGGCACTGTGCACGGTAGCTGCCCCTGCTCAAAGCTGTCACTTTCGTCTGCCCTGGATATTGAAATCTCCAACTGTGTCTCCACAATGACTACTCTGATTAAAACAGAAATTCATCATTATATCCAGACATATTTTAAAAAATGACTATTTTCCTAAACTAAAATTTCCTCTAATTTCTGCTTTATGAAAACTCTCAGGGCCTACATACAGTATTCAACCTGCTCTACCCTCCCAGTCAAGGGAGCCCCCCCAAATTGTGTATTTAAAAGGAGGCAGAGGTAAGAATGATTTAATACTGAATGAGAACTTTGAAACCCAGAACTTGAATTTGAGCCACAGATTGAAACCTCTTGTGACCACTTTGAGTTTGGATATCTCGTGTGAAACCACACACAGGACACACAGCTGGGATTCTCAAGATGACCCAGGAAGGACTGTTTATTTAATTCATCCCAACAATATAATGTATTTTAAAACACAGAGACACATGTCCTCTGTATGAAGTTGTTATAGTTACAGAAGAAAAAACAAATATTTGTGAACACAAAGATTAAAAGAAATCTTGCTACAGGGAGAATAATCTCCTCCAGAAAGATTTTTGAAAGTCAATGAAGACATCATTCCCCAGATGGCACAAGTCAGGTGCAGAGCAGACTTTAGTGTATCTCCTGGCATTTGCACGATTTGTGAGCCCCAGTTAATAACATAAAATGGGGTACTGGGGGAGGAAAAGCAAACAGACACACAACCCAAGAGCACATTGAAATTTATTTATTTCATACAAGTGACATCATAAACAAGGCTTTGCCTGTGTTCTAGTTTACTGCCAATAAATAACTATGTACAAATATGTTCAGTTTACAAAATAATAGAGGAAAACCTTTGTCATACAAAAGATACAGTTACATGATACATTTGTTTCCATACACGGAAGCGTGATTTCACGCCCGGCTTAGTTTAACCAAAGGCCTCTGGACCTTGGGTAGCAGTATTCTTAGTCTTTCCTGCATGTACCAGAAAGCAAAGCTATACAATGAAAATTCCTCAGTTTCTTGAAAATAAAGGGCCTGACTTGGCCTGCTACTTATTACTGATTCATATTTAATGTATTCCAGAAACTTGGAAGCAATCTGGAACAGTTGTCCTCAAGTCACTTGGCAGCTAAACCCCTGTAAATCTTGTTAAAATGCAGATTCTCATGAATTGGGTGGGGCGGAGCTCTGGATCCTGCATCTCTAACCAGCTCCCATGGGCCGCTTCCAATTTTTGTTTAGGGCCACAAGGGCCAGGCTTGAAGGTCGCTCTGAAGTGGGAGAGATTCTCCAAGGACCTAAGACAGCCCTAATTGTGCTTCGTCCAGGCTGCATCCTGAGCTCCCAGTTCCACAAAACCAGTAGAGCTGCATTTATTTTGGTCTACTGAGTGACAAGAATAGGGCAAGTCAGTCGACAACTGGCATGGACGGTGCAGCTCAGACGTTCTCAAGACAGTCTCCTGGGAGGTGCTTCTCTGCTTTCTCAATCTAGAGCAACCATTTGAACATGTTCAATGCTTTCAAAAACAAGTAATAATAATAAAAAGAAAACTGCATAAGAAGCTTAACAACTATTATTATTAACACTATTTTTTGGTCCAAATCAAAACAACAACAACAAAATTCAGGCTTACTGTTTATAAAATAAAGATGAAAAACTCCTTGAGTTAATTTCTGTAACAATCTAGCAATATTAATTTAACTAATACTTTTTACATTCTAACCTTTCTTAAGATTATTTTGCTGGAGCAACCTGAAATTCCAGGGTAAGGTAGCAGATCTGGCGAAAGAGCAAATGACCAACTCCTTTCATTTTTAGTGTTTTGTTCCTGTTTCACATAGGAGTTCTGCCTGGGCAGACAGCTAAGATGGGAAGAAGTAGGGTCGGTCACAGGTAAAGTGACTCGGATGAGCTGGTCCCCTTCCTGGGAGGAATGAGGAGGGAAATGCCGCTTGCTTTATCAATTCTAGAGAGCTGGGGAGGGGAGGGAATTCACCAAGATAATTTAACTGTCACAAGACAAATGAGTGTGTAACTGTATCTATGGGGGGGTGGAAAATGGAGATTGGAGACTTTACAGGTAGGGACACATGGGAGGGGAAGCAAAGGGAAAAAATCCTAAATACTTAAAAAAATAAATATTTTGGTCATCACTAGGTCTGCCCCAAAGGCCGCCAACCAATACTGCCTACCCCTCCTCCCTCCCCCTGGTATGGACTGGGATGCTGTGGTCTGTCTCAACTGTTGTTTGGTGACATCCTGGAAAGAGCCCCTTGCAGTCACCTGCTCCCCAGCGAGGCATGGAATCAGCCTGAAGAGGGGAAAGGAGTCTCATCCAACTCTAATGCCAGCTAAAGTGCGTTTGGGTAGCCAGGGAGTAAAGTTGGGGCCCTGGGGGCACCGGAGGGAGAGAAGGGCCTGCCGACCCACCGTGCCTCCAGGAGGGAGGGAGCCGGTCAGAGTGTCTGAGGGGTCCGCTCGGTGCGCACCTGCTGCAGCGCTGCCTCTTTGGCGGGGGCGGCGGGCTTGTATTCCGTCTTGGCCCGCGCAGTGCCCTGCTTCTTGCGCAGGTGGCAGAGAAGCGCCAAAAGTGCCACCACCAAGGACAGGCTGGCGATGGAGATGCCCATAAGCACGCCTGAATGCACTTGCCCGGCTGCAGGGGGGCCTGAGGTGGAGCTGGGCGTTGGGCTGACGGGGATCTCCCCGGAGCCACCGTCCTCAACGCCAGTGTTCTGACCGTTCACCTCGATGGGGCTACAGTCCTTGCTCACCTGGCCAGCCAGGACCGAGTCTGGCCCGCAGACACACTCATAGGAGCCGGGGAGGTTGCGGCACTGGCCGCCGTGGCAGTAGTCGTTGTAGCACTCGTCAATGTCCGTGCACACGGAGCCCTCGTCCAGGATGTAGCCCTCTGGGCACTTGCAGTCAGCCGGGGTGTTGGGGTCGCAGTCGGCTGGACATGAAGTCTGGTTGCAGAACATCTGGCACCTGCTCGGCTCCTGTGGCTTGGGCACGAATCCCTCGGCGCAAATACAGGTGTAGTTCGTTGGGCCCACAGGCTGACACTGGTACTCGCAGTTGGCTGCAAAGCAGGGGTCCACGGCCTCCACGCACTCGCCATCGACCAGTTCGTAGCCAGGATGGCAGAGGCACTCGAAGCCACCCTGCGTGTTGATACAACGCTGTGGGCACGGACTGGGCACGAGCATACAGTCGTCCACGTCCTCGCACCGATGCTGGTCAGCCGCCAGCTGGTAGCCGGTCTCACACATGCATGAGTAGGAGCCAGGCACGTTGGGGTCGGGGAAGCACAAGTGCTCACAGAGGTCGTTGCAAGATGCAGCACAGGAACGCCCGTCCGCCTGAAGGGCGGCGTCCCCTGGGCAGAAGCAGCTGGGCACCCCTGAGCTGTCATTGCACACGCGCTCACAGCCGCCGTTCTCCACGCCGCAGGGCCAGGCGCCAGGCTTCTCCCGGACCCAGCGCGCCTCGCCGGCCGCTCCAGGAGGCGCAGAACACACCAGCTCCAAGCCTAGGGGCGCCACCGCAGCGGTGCTGCCCGCCGGCAGTGCCTGAAAGTCCGCGCCGCGGGCCCCGAACGGGGTGCTGTAGGTAATCGAGACGCTGGCGGCCGCCTGGGCGCCATGCTTTACCTCCAGGGGCCTGCAGGAGGTAGGGAAGTGGAACTCGCAGAGGAAGCCATGGGTCTCGGCGTCGCACTGCTGCTCCTGCCAGGCCGGCTCGCCGGGCGCAGAGGCCCCAGCCGCGGAGACAGTGACGCACAGCGGGCCGCACAGGGGCTCCCGGGAGTGATCCAGCCGTGCCCACCTGCTGTAGCTGGTGCGATTGTCTCCCGTAACCCACTGGAAGCCGCGCAAGGACCCGAGATGTCCGGGGTCCCTGCAGCCGGCTGGGAGTTTCAGGCCGATCCAGAGGCGTGGGCTGTCACCGCCATCACTATTCAGCAGCAGGGAGATGACATCGGCAGCCACCGAGGAACGCACGGTCATCAGGTGACCCTGGAGGCGCTCGCAGACCTGGCTAGCAGCAAGGAAGGTCGCAGGGCCCCGGAAAAGAGCGAAGCAGTCGTGCTCGACGCACTGGCTGCCACGGGGTTGCGGTTCTGCTGGTGTCGGGATCCCCAGGCCGGCGGGGGCCAGCACGCCAAGCAGCAGGACCCCGAGCATGCTGCCCAGGTGCGGTAAGTGCAGGTGCCGGGAAAGCGCAGGCCTGCGACCCGGCCGGGCAGGAGCAAAGGTGTACAGGAGGCCGCTGGCGACAGTCGCTCTTGTCCTGCTCAGCTCGGACGCTTCGGGCTACCGCGCGTGGCCCCAGCGAGACAGCCTCTGACATGCTCATAGGCCTGGGCTGGAGTTTATAAGTGCGCGGCCCTCCCTCTCTGGACGTTCGGGAAAAGGAAGGAAGTGCCGAGTGGGAAGGGCTGATGCCGTATTCACGGATTACTGGGTTCTCCGGACGTCGTGCGCCCGCCCTCGCGCCTGGGATCACCTCGAGCAGATGAATAAACGCGACCCCGGCCCGGGACGTCCCGGGCGGGGCTGGCAGACTCAGGCGCCGCTGCGGACGGAGGGCAGCACTCCATCAGCAAGGCAACACTCCCGCCCCTACTATCAGACTCCACTGGTGCAGCCCTCCTCAATCTTCTAGTCCTTCTCCCGCCCGCCCCTGAATGTTACCACGGATTCCAGGGGAAGCCTCCTTTGCAGAGCTCTGAGACCTGCACATTCCGTAGAAAAGAAGGCTTTGAATGGGACGTAAGGGAGACTCGGCACAAAAAGGACTTTGGGAGGGGCTGCCTCTTCCAGCGCTTCCGCAAACACAAGGTCAGATCGCAAAGAGAGAGTTGGAGCCGACCTAGGAGCCAGGGCACCTGACTCAGGAGACCAGGGCAGCACTAGTCCTCTGAAGACAGTGGGTATGTCTGGGTTGAGGACAGACCTAATACTAGCTCCCGGGCCCCATGGCTGGCCATGGAACCCGTGAGCTCCTGGGCACTCACTGCCAATGCCAGACTCCATCTTGTCGCACGGGAAGATGGCAGGGACACTCGGGGCTCTGAGCTCCTCTCCCCTTTGAGAAGCTGTGAGGGATGAATTGCCGCACAGGCCTGCCGGGGGTGGGGTGGCAGGGGAGCGCTTCAGCTCTCTGTTGTCTTCCAAATCGCAGGGTCACCCCCCGCGGAGTCCGCCTACTGCCCAGGTGAGGAGGCCTGCAAGGTTCAGGTGCACCCACCAAGGTCTGTCACAGAGCTGTCCACTCCCGAGACCTGATTGATGACGAGGTGCACATAATCAGGCAGCAACACAAAAGAGGGCCTGTCCTGTGGTTGGCAAGGCGGGGAGAACTAGGAGGAGGAGGTGGGGATCTGTTATTTCTGACCTTATGGCTTGTTCACTTAAGGAGAATGCCCAGGGGAGCTGCAAACTTTGTTGAAAAACAGGCTCGAGTCTGGTCCTCCGCTGTGGTCACTCACAGCCCAGCACCGGGAGGCGGCGCTGTTGAGCTCTAAACAAACCCAAAGAAGCTGGAGAACTAGTCGGACTATTTTACAAGGGCACATGTCAAATCTACTAAGCGTAGAATATTGTCTTAACACAATAATTAAGAAAGTGCTGTGTTAACGAGTTTGACATAAATATTGAGTAAATATTTATGAGTTTGAGTAAACATTTCAAATTGTATGTAAAACCAGCACATTGTACCCCATAAATGCATTAATGAACACAGCTATGATGTAATTTGAAAAAAAAAAAAAGAGTGTGGGGAAGGCAGAGGCCTGGCCCCCAAGTAGGAAACTGTTCTGTGGAAGCTTTCGGGGACTCCCAGGCTCACCTTCTGGCCTTCCCTGTCCAGTAGAGCCCAGATTTAAGAGAAGAACAGCACAGTGTGGGACCTCTCCTGAGAAAGACAATGTCCAATGGGGAGACAATGCCATGGGGAAAGGGGCTGGTAAAACAGTCCCTCCTGATATACCCCAAGGGGACCAAGAGCTATAGCCAAACACAAACAGCCTCCCAGTACCCTGCTGAGGTGGGCTCCATGGTGGGAAGGGTGCCCCAGCTTCCAGGTAGGGACCCCAGAGGAGCTTCCTGAGCTCTGAGATGCACCTGCCTAAGGGAGGAGGACCTGGGGGGAGGGTGGAAGGGAGGAGCCCAGGGTTGAGAGCCAGCCCCTCCCTGTGAGAGCTGGGCAGGCACTGGCTACCTGGGGATCATAACCCTGCCCACCTGGGAAGAGAGGGAAGGGAAGTGAGGGATGTGGAGGTGGAGAGACTTCAGATATGGGCAGGAATCCCAGTGGATCACTGCTAAAAGGTCTCAGAAAGTGGGGGAATTCCCTTGGTGGCTGAGACAAAAGAGGGGACAGAACCAGCTACACCACCTGCAGAACCCAGTGCAAGGTGAAAGTGTGGAGTTTCTGGCTTAATTACTAAGAATTTCAAGACTGACAGCACACAGCGTGAAACAAGGGGTAGGACCCTTTTGAATGCAGAGACCCCCTGGGCAGGGCTCCTCTGAACTAGCCAGCCCTAAAAGGGGCTGAGGAACTTTCAAGGATCCTGGTGTTGCCCCATACCGGGTTGGCTGGATTCTTGGATGGATTCTAGCTGATTCACCAGCATACACTTTGGTTGGGCATCCTACTCAGACCTCCTTAAACCCATTATTGAGTCTTGCAAAGAACAAGAAAAAAGAAAAAGGAATGTGTGAGAACAGCCCTGGTAACTGGGCTCACTGGAAAGTCAATGATGCCTTTGAAACTTGGCCTAGCTCTCTATAAGAAGGTGTTGGATGTTTCTGTATTTTCAACAGAAAGAAACTAAAGGAACAACGAATGGAAGTAGAGGACTGTCCCATGGAATGAGCCACCATCTCTGGGCCACCTTGCAGAAGAATGGGTGGATGTGAGCTGTTAGACTTTCCCACCCCTCAGGGCATAACCCCTGCTCCAGGACACACATCAGCTTTACCTCCCAGGCTTGCCTTTGCCAATTCATTTTCCTCTACAGCCAATGCTTTAGAGGTTTTTTTTTTTTTTTTTTGAGACAGTGTCTCACTTTATCACCCTTGGTAAAGTGATGTGGTGTCACAGCTCACAGCAACCTCCGACTCCTGGGCTGAGGCAATTCTCTTGCCTCAGCATCTCGAGTAGCTGAGACTACAGGTGCCCACCACAACACCCAGCTATTTTTTGTTGCAGTTGGGCCGGGGCCGGATTCAAACCTGCCACCCTCAGTATATGGGGCTGGCGCCCTACACACTGAGCCACAGGCGCCGTCCTATTTTGCAAGTTTTAACAGCCTCAGATGACTGAAGGTCCCCAGGCCTCTGCTAGAATCCCACCCATCTCCCTTTCTGTACCTCCTGTGCACCTGGGACAGATGACTCCCCATGTCTCTATGTGGGTGTCATATCCACTGCCCTCTTCCTGACACAGACTCCAATCCCTCCACCCTCATGTGGGCACCAACCAGGACTTGCTGTACTGCTGAAATAGTCGCCTCAAAGACCTCCCATCACGTCAGGAATGCCAAGAACTTGTTTCCATTCATCCTTCTAGATGTCATGTACGTTTCCACTCCTGATGCCTGCCATCTCAAGGCTGTGGCTCCCATGACTTTTCAAACACACACCCTCCCTCACCTCCTCCCCTGTGGGCCCTGAGCCACCCCTCGGGCCCTCCAACTCTCATCATGAGACGGTGGGTCAGCAACTTTCTTCTTTGCTTCCTTTCTCTCCAGCATCTCACACCGGCTAATGCCACCTGGACCCTCACACTCCTGTGCTCCCCACTCCTGCCAGGACAAGCCCAGGCTCCTCTCCACCCCTCCACTGTGCTCACGGTTGTGTCTAGACTCTATGTCCACAGATTAAGAAATAAGCACTCAAGGGGCTGCACTGGAATTTAGACCTCGAGCCCATGCCCTTTCTCCCTCCCAAGGGTCCTGTTATCTTCATGGATGCCAAGCCGTCCTTGCAAGGGAGGTCTCCAGGAAGGGTCACTGTCAGGGAAATGCCTCGCCCGTCTCACTTCTACTCACTATCTCTCTCTCTTCCAGGAGCGTTCTCGTCTTTGCCCACTTCGCTACCCCCTGAAATCTTTCCCTGTTTCACAGCCCTGTTGACAAGCTGTCCCATCAGCAAGGGTTTCTGAGTAACCAAAGCAGAGCTGACCTCTGTACGGCCTTGCATGGCAGGACTTCCTCTAGGTCTTCTGCAGTATCGTGCCTTTGCTGCTGTGTAAGTGACCATGTACACAGCACACTCCTCTACACTTGCTGTCTAGGGCCCCTGCCCCATGTATCTAGCAGCATGCTCTGTCCAGACAGTCCCTGGACGCCCCATGTATCTAGCAGCATGCTCTGTCCAGTCCCTGGACTCATCGGAGCACCTGTCACGGATGTTTCTTTGTGCCCGCTCCTAGGCGATTTTCTCTTGTTAACCAGCAAAAACAGGATGGGGGCAGCCTCAGGGCCCCAGGGTTAATGAAGGTGGAGGCTTTGGAGTATTGGCTGGATTGGAGTCTCAGTTCCATTGACAAGTTTTTTGTTTGTTTGAAGATTTGCCATGTACCCAGTCTGTCTGTTCTGTTTCCTCAACTGCATAATAGGAATCATAACAGTCCTCCCTTCAAATTGTTATGGTGAGAATTGTACGTGAAGTATCTGGAATGGTTGAGCCATGGTTAACTCTCAACAGATTTTAGCAGAAAAGGAAAAATTCAATCTCTAGAATTTTGATTCAGACAAACAAGGGGAGAGTCCCTTTAGAATGGGAAGGGCCTCTTGGGCAGGGCCCCTCTGAGCCTGCCAGCCCTAAAAAAAGCAGGGAGCACTCAAGGGTCCTGGTGTCGCTGGTCTGTGGTAGAGACTCACTAAATGTTTGTTGGGTTAAACTAAGTCCAGCTAAGCATTTATACCAGTAATAACAGTAAGCAATTGTGAAAAAAAATTAAAAACCAAAGGAGGCACAGGGAGGAATTGCAGATATCCAGAAAAGAAAGTGTGCCTGTCTCAGGCTGCAGGGGGTAGACATAGCTGTTTTTCATTTCCCAGATGTGGATGCTGAAGTCTGGAGGTCTGAGGGGTATAGGTGACTCCCCGGGTTACACAGCCAGTAAAGGGTGAAACCAAGACTCACCAGCCCATGTTAGGATGGAAGAAATAGAACACAGAGTATTTCTGA